CACACACACACACACACACACACACACACAAACAACATGGTAGCCAGCGGTCCATGACATTGACAATTCCATTGATTTGCTGTAACCATTTCAAAGGACACAGTGGATATACATATATACGCATGGATATAATATCATCAAAGATAATAAAGGAAAAAAGCATCGATGATTGTTACCGACGGGAAAGATAGTACGTGGAAAACAATGTATGTAGAGGAGACGCAACACCTAAAGTCACACACACAAAAACAATACTATGCTAGCTAGCTGGTCCATGACATGGACAATTCAATTGATTTGCTACAACCATTTGAATGACACAGCGGACACACAAACATATATGAACGAATAATTTCTCCAAATGAGAAGAAAAAACTGTATACATAGTGGTGTGTTTTTCTTTTGTTCATGCATGCATGTCGATGGACCAAGTGTATCAGCAGTATGGCTTTTGTTTGCTGCATGATGGCAACAGGCTCCCCCATTCTGTTAGGCCGATATATGAACTTCACAATTCAGGCATGTGCTTAGTCCAATATTCAATTATTTATTGTATCCCGGATTTAAATTATACGATTAAACGCTTGAGACAAGTTTCTCGCATGGATAAAAACGACAAGGATAACAAAATAAAAAAAATCTAAATGATAAGTGCCACACTTCAGGTGCGTGGCACTCCAGCCCTGACATTTTTTGATGTAAATTTCAGTTAGGCAAGGATGACAAATTGCAGTGATACATGGCAAGTTTCTGTCAAAAATAAACGAAAGCACAAAAGTTGTCATGCTTGTCAACTAAAGTTTTCATACTCGTGTAACTAAAGTTTAGATCAAAAATGTTCTAAGTTGCCATGTGCACGTACCTGACGTGTGGCACTTATCAGGGTCCTAAAAAAAGAAACAAATATAGTTACCAAGCAAAATCAACTGTATGTCGCTCTCTTCGCCCATTGTCCCTGAATGCAATACCCATCTAAGTGTATTGACATGCCTTCTGTTGATGCTATTGCAATGGTCGAGACATGTTTTTCCCATTCAATTAGGTAGATCAACGTTTTTTTAGCAAACTGTTAACTCCATGGATGTGTTTATTCAATTCCTAATTATGATTAGGTAGCTAGTAGGTGATTTCAACATCAACAACAGCAAGCACTAGGGCATCAGTAAAGAGAACAACCAACTTCAAGAATGAAAACTTCTTAAAATTTCACTTGTTTAATACTATGCATGGAACTTTCTTTCCTTTTTTCTTAAGAAAATGAGGATTGTGATTAGCAGCAAGGAGAACGAGAAGAGTGATTTCACTTGTTTTTAATGAGCTTGTTGTTAACAGACAGGTGGGCAGTGAGAGGGTGTGAGCGAGGTGTCTCTGGCTGGACACCTCCCACTTTTTCCTCTGTGAGAGTGAGTGCTGAGGTCAATTTAC